CGGTCGGTGCCTAAAAAGTATCGAACTCGATACCCAGCCCTACTGATTTGTGAAGCAGGAGCACCATGAAACCTGTATTGAGGTCTCGTGAGTATTTATATACACACAGTCTGACTGAAAACACCTTTTGTGTCTGGACTATATTAGACACATTTTTGTTGCCTAAGAACAGGACAGACATTTTCACTGGAAGAACGCTGCTCAATTAATACCGTTCCTATCCAAACACAACAAAAGCCAGAAAATCCTATCTTTGTTAGTGATGCTTAAACTACACAACAACATATTTAACTGAGATGAAGATCGAAAGCTAAAGAAAGTTGTTTGTTGTTTTGTTATTGTGCGGATGATTACAGGGTTTGATGCTAGCTGCAAGAGTGACACTTTGAATAAATGTGTGCACTCACTGAATGGAGTTCTCGATGCGGGAGATGGTGAGGAAAGCAGCCAGATTTGCCGTGTAGGAGGAGATGACTATCAGAGCAAAGAGCCACCAAACCCCCATCATCATCCTTGTAGCCAAAGTCGTGTAGGGCACCTCACCACCTGTAGAGAAACAGGAGAAAAGAGCAAAGAAAAAAGGCTGATGTTTGTGCTATCTTTGAAATTACATCAGACGTGTGATCTTTCAAAATATCTTTTAAATAAAGACCAATTTGGCAGCCAAATCTAGTTTAGTTCATCATATGATGGATCAAAAGAGTCATTCTGGTGACAGTTTTGCAAAATTTGAAGAATATTTCAAAAAGGCAAGCAAATTATGATTCAAAACTTAATTCAAGATATATTCTCTAATTATGTTTGTATATTTAATGAGATAATATATAGTTCATATGTTCAAATGTTTAACATTTTATAATACACATTTAATAATCTATATTACATCCATATCATTATTCTCTGTTGGATGCTCTCACTGAAAATATATCAGAAATATACATATAAACATAACATATCTTGGATGTTTAGAATTTATTTTATTTTTTTTACTGTAAAATAGGATAAAAACACTGATTAGTTTGTTTTTTTTTGCATTGTAAACAATGGCAGTGAAATAATAATAAAAAATATGTCATGTTCGTCCCCAGCTATTTGTATTGTTAAATGCATCGTTATATTTCTGTATGTAGTTTGAATAAAAAGGGCTTCATCTTTAGTAGTGCAGTACTCTGACAGCCTGGAAACAAATGGAGGTATCCGAGTGTGCAAGATCCAAACAACTGAGACTTTAACGATGGAAAAAACTCCATTAGAGTCAGACAAAAAAGGCTATCAATTGTAATGTCAAATCTACATTTCCCCAGTCACCACAGTCAGAGCAAAATCACGTCTGTTTATTCTGCATTTCAGATCCCTGCTAATTCACCAGCAAGAAAAGACAGCGGCTCCTCTAAAAGCCGCATACCACAATAATGATGGACCTGCACAATTCAAGGCTCGCAGCAACACTGAAAACTGTTAAAAAAATTTGTCCCATCTATCCTCGTGGCTTCCCGTATCATTCCAGCCTTGTGTGGTAAGTGCCAAGCATTTCAGCACTCAATAAGGTATCTGACAACTCTATTTCTGTAGGGGGTCCGCCGAGATGAGCTGTCTTATTAAAGAAAGTTTTTAGATGACTCACATACATACGTCCCGCAGGCTGTGTATTCTCTGCTCCACAAAAACTTTTTGCAATTTTAATTTCAGCAAACAAGTCCACGAGAGCAAGTTGGCCCACTCATTTTTTAAATAATCAACAATCTTGGGTTATCAGACTTTAAGGTTAGGGAGGTGTCCTATTTAAAGGGCACTGCTCCCTTCATCTGCTATGTAAACCTCAGAGATTTTGGACTTCAATTTAAGCAAATGTCAGTGAATACCCAACAAGCTTCTTTCAGCTGACTCTATACCAGTAATTTGCTAAGAATAAATCACTAAAGGAATTAAACCCATCCATCCATCTATCAAAGTTTTATGAAAACAATTCAACAAAGACATCAGTAAACTATTATAGAAAGTTTATTAATACACATTTGAGTGATTCTGAGAATGTAAAGTTGTTGAAAAATGGATAAAGTAAATCAATAAATATTATTGGCTCTAAACATTCATGCGCAAAATTATTCAACCCCTAAAAGTCACATTTTGTGCAGAATCTTTTAAAACACTGCCTGTAAGTGCTTAGAAGCTTCTGTCACCTCTCTACTGCAATCGTGGCCAATTCCTCACTTGAAAAAGTCTTTGTTTTTTTTAATGTTGTCAGTATTTTCTTTAAATTCTACCAAATATTTTCAATGAGATTTAAGTTTGAAGACTGAACAGGCCACTTAAGAACATTCCATGACTGATCCCTGAACCAAACTTCAGTAGATTTGGATGTATACTTTGGGATGGATGTCCTGCAGGAAAGTCCATTTATCATCAAGCTTTAGTTTCTGCATCGAAGGCATCACAATCTTTGCCAAAATGGCTTGATACTTCAAAGAATCCATTGTCTATCAGATTTTAGTTTTTACATAAAAAGTACATGCGTCCTTCAGGCAGAACTGATTTTTTTGTTTCTTTTCTGAATAATGAAACTTTAGTTCCTAAATAAAATGAGGTTGAAATTTTGACTGATTATCTTCATACCCAAGCGCATCTGTTAAATCAAAAGTAATCATACAAACAAAACCAACATCTGTAAGAGTTCTCGGTGAGAACATTTGTTCGAAATCGAGGCAATCGACTAAAAAACTAATTTCCATATTCAACAGCGCTTCAAAAAGAAGATAATGGTAGAAACTGGATGGTAGTGCAATGAAATATACATTTTAGTGAAGATAGGAGATATATAACAGAGGTTTGTAACCTACAGTACTTCTTATATCCTGAAGCAAATATGTTACAGGAGAAAGCATGATAAATGAAGGAAAAAAAATCTCTAACTATAGTTTAGGAAAAAACGTCTCAGGTTACCTATGTAACCATGGTTCCCTGAGTAGGGAACGAGACACTGCGTCCTCTAGGGGTCGCTATGGGGAACGCCTCGTCATACGCAGGGCAGGAGGATTGAGAAGGCTCAGCCTCAGAGGATTAACAGTCTAATTTATATAATTAGATATTCTAGATTATTCGCCCAAACAAACAACGCATAGATCGTGTGAGTCATCGGGTGTCAAATAACGATGACACGGATGCACACACCTTCTAAACGCTCTGCTAGTGCTCGCCATAATGAATA